AACATGAACGACCTGGTCTCTGAATACCAGCAATACCAGGATGCCACTGCTGATGAGCAGGGCGAGTTTGAGGAGGAAGGAGAGGAGGATGAGGCTTAAGCCACCTGGTATCAAGGGAACTTCTACAAAGCAGGCATGCATCTGAATGACTTCTGGTAGTGGTGGTGAAGCATGTTTTCTAGAAACTATGTACCCAATTATCCTCTCAGCATTTGTGAGATTTTGTGAGTTTTGAATCCTAATTCTTACAATGTTTTTTGTCCTTTAATATTAAGAGCACATAAAGGCATGTATTCAAGATCATGGTTTCTGTCTTTCTTAACACCTCTATTGGACAAAGAACAGCTGTTCAGCCTGGGTGGCAACAAGTAAGTTTAAAGACATGTCAGAAATCTTGCACTACAGTGGTATGCTCTGATCGCCAAGGCTTACAGATTCTTAAGACATATACTTCTCATGTAATTATGTTTGATGTTTTTCTTACAGGACTCAAACCTACCTGTAACTGCATTGAAAACAGAATGCCAGCCTAAATTCCTAAACAAGGCTCAGTACCTCTGACTTGTTTTACAGTTCATGTTAGCGCAGGAAATTTTCCACTTCTCTGTTGAAGTCCTTTGCAAAACGCAGATGTAAATTATGCTTTCCTTCTGGCATCAGAAGCAACCTTAAAAGAGGAAAAAAAACCCAAACACCAATTATACATTTTATTCTGTGAGTATAGGTACTTAAAATGCTTGTTACATTTTCCTTGTTCTTGGTTACCCAGTAAGGAATTGTAGTAACTCTTATTTTAAGTACTGCATCTATGTATGTGGTTGGAATGTGAACCACAGCAACAGCTGGAGCAACAAGCACACTACTTTTCCCACTTTGTGGAGGATAAAATAAGCCTAAACTGAATTTTTGTTTCCTAGACCAAGTTTCTAGAAAACTTTTGGGTCATCTTCAGACTAGATTCCAAAACTTATGTAAGATGCATCTTTGAAAGGTATGTAAAGTACCTAAGTATTTTTGCCTCTTTCAGAGAACAGTAGTTGTGCTAGGCAGTGAAATGTAGAGTTCTTGTCATTATCCCAACTTGGTTAGTACTTGTACTTTGTCTAATCTTTCTGCAAAAAGACAATCCAAAACTAAAATCATTCCCTCATTAAATTAAAAAGGGAAATCGGAACTTCTCTGTCTATACCAAAAGCTTAGAAGTAGTACCTGTGAATAAGGTTAAATCTTTATAATACAAATATGAATTTGACATGCCCAAAATTCTACTTCTTTTATTTTTTATCTGAGACAAACTTTATACATCAGGGATGTACACTTCCTTATATAAGGGTGGGAAATTCTTTCAATTGTTTTGTTTTACCATATACTAAGCAGTTTCAACAGAGCTTAAACAATTTCGACTGATACTTTTCATGTCAAAGTCCCACTATAGCAAGAGGGATCAACCTCCTCTTGGTTTTGTTTTGGGAAAAGAGCAGCAGCATGTGAACATACCCAGCTTTTCCAGTGAATTCTGCCTGAATTTTATTAAGTCTGTTTCTTCAAAGATGAGCAGCACACATGCACAAACTAAAGTGCTGTGCATGCTGTTTCCTACTACTGTCATGCTACAGAACTCCAGCTATACCATGCAAATGCAGAATGATGGCACACTCTTACACTGCTGGTTTCTCTCATGGTCAATCTGCACTATAAGCAAAAGCTTTTTCTTTACTACTAGACAAAAATCAAGGCAAGAAAAGCTGATGGTAGAAGCATGTGTTACTGAAAATGTACTGAATTTAAGCTTTTCTTTCCGTTTCACAATGGAAAACGTTTATTTCTAATGCAACTAGGGAAGAGTAGGACCATGTACCCAATACATTAATAATACATTGCATTAATTTATGAGAACACAGTTAGTCTGGTTTCTTTTCTGAGAAATATGCATATGGGGGAGCACTTCAGCACAGAGATGTCTAAAGGATCACTGTTCTACATTTTATTGGATGGCAATTTCTAAGAGTGTTTCTTCTTTGACTTGTCTTCCAAAGAGAAGCTATCAGATTCTTGTCTAGTTTCTTGGGATAATTTGCCCTAGTCAGCATCTGGAGTATTTTGGAGCTCAGTGAAACCAAGCAGAATGATAGGTGTTCTGAACAGGGCATGTAAGAGTGACGAACCAGCAGACATGAAATAAAACACCTGCATGTGATTGCTAGGAAGATCTCTTGTTCTCATCCTTCCTGTAGCAGAATGCATTACCATGATCAGCAGGGTTGACTTTGAGATAGCATTTATTTTTGCACTGAGATGACACCAGCAAAACAGTTCCCTACGCTTTGCATTCATAAAAACGCTTCTTTTTTTCCCCCACTACTTCTGTTCTCCAGTGCTGTTATTAAGTAGTAATAGAATGCTTGCCTTTGTGTGCAAATTCATGAAGAAAATTCAGCTAGTAAAATCCCAACTTTTTATAAGAAGCATTTCTGGAATTTTCAAGTTGTGCTGGATTTGGCTGGGATAAATTTTCTTCACAGTAGCTGTTACTGGGCTGTGTTTTAGATTTGTGCTGAAAACAATGTTGATAATAGAGATGTTTCTGTTATTGCGGAGCAGGGCTTGCACCGCCTCAAGGCTTTCTCTGCTTCTCGTACTGCCCCACTAAGGAGGAGGGTGAGGGTGCACAAGGAGTTGGGAGAGGACACAGCTGGGACAGCTGATCCCAACTGACCAAAGGAATATTCCATACCATATGGCATCATGCTAAACATACAGAGTTGGGGAAAGAAGGAAGGAGGGATGACATTTGTCTTCACAAGTAACTGGTATGTGTGATGGAGCCTGGCTCTCCTGGGGATGGCTGAACACCAGCCTGCCTGTGGGAGGAGTGAGTTAAGTCCTTGTTTTACTTTGCTTGCATATATGGCTTTTGCTTTAGCTATTAAACTGTCTTTATCTCAATGCATGAGGGTTTTTTTTCCCATTTTTACTCATCTGATTTTGTCCTGGATCCCATGTGTGAGGGAGTAAGTGATACTGAGTTGCCGTCTGGGATTAAACCACAACACACACGAAGCAGATTTTTCTTGATATTTTTCTTGTTTATATAGTAATGTTTCTGAACACACTTGTACATTTTTTTTCTTTTTCTGCTTTTCTTAAAGACACTGAAAATTCATGGGACAGGTGGAAACAATCTTTGAGGTTGTTCACGTCAGTAGAGCAGAGCAAACAGAAGTAAACTGTTTTCTCTCTCTAATAACTGGGAATCGCTCTCCATTCAGAGCATCTAAATTCCCTGTTCTACTGAATGAGACAGAAATGAAGTCTCTTACAGCAAAAGGAATGCAACAGTCATAACAACCAACTTTGCTTGCTTTGATAAAGCTTATGGAATAGTGGTTCTGTCTGTGTAGTGGAAAGAGGAAAAGCTACTTGGTTTCTCTCAGAGGGCTTTAGGAAGTAGCTTATTAAAATATTGTATTTTTTTATACTTCAAGAAAAGCCCAGCTGCCCTATTTGCATTGCAACTTGCTAGGGAAGTTTAGAATAGCTCTCTGTGTAGCAGAGACTACTTGTCCAAATACTTTTTTTTTTTTTAACACCGAGTTTGAACTACTTCATTTCTCCAACAATGGTTTATAAAAACCATTCCATCATTTAACTTACCGAGAGTCTTTGATGTGCTTATGAATATATTCTGCATGAGCCTGTGGGACCAAAGGGTCTTTCTCACCATGAATTATAAATGTGGGACATTTAATATCTGGCAGCAACTGTTGGCAGATATTACCTAGGGAGAAAACAAATGAAGGTCACACTTTGGCTTAAAATTGTATGAAAGATGAAACTGCTTCCGTAAAGGACTCGGAACTCCATTGGGTTCTAGTTATTGCCTCTCCTTATGGATTGTGTGATTAATCTACAGGACTATGTAAGCAGGACTATAACATTTTTTTTCTCCAAAATCTTACTTCACTGCAATTTGCTCCATTAATGGATACTAGCACAAAAGGATACAGAGGATGAAGTACTTCTGTTCCACAATTCCCCCAGGCTCCCTTTGACTCTTCAAAGCCAATACATGCCTCTCATTCCCAGCTTTGTTCTTTTCAGCCTTAGTCTTAATGGCCCTAACCTTAAGCTGCATTTTGTTACAGCAGTTGTCGGGTTACAAGATTTGCTACTTTTTTTGGAACAAATTCACTTAGGCTGTACTCATACCTGTTGTACCTCCCAGGCCCTTTGCTGTGTGCTATGTTCTAATGGCTTGAGCCCAGTTGGACGCTAAGCACCTACCTAAGCCTCTCTATCACTCCCCTCCACAGGGGAAAGAAAACAGAATGAAAGGTTCCCGAGTTAAGGACCAGGAGAGCACACTCACTGAATACCATAATGGGCAAAACAGACTCAGCTTGGGGATATTAACTGAATTGATTACTAACAAAATTGGAGGAAGATAATGAGAAGTAAAATAAATCTTAGAAGCTTCTTCCTGGGTTCTACCTCCTGGCCCTCTGTGGTGCAGGGAGATGGGGAGTGGGGGTTGTGGTCAGTTCATCACAGGTCGTTGCTGCTTCTGCTCAGGGAGTCCTTCCACTGTTCCAGTATGGGAACACAGGAAACACTTCTTCAACATGAATATATCCCACAAGAAATGGTTCCTCTCAGACTGCTGCAAGGTGAGTCACCTTTCCACAGGATGCAGTCCTTCAGGCACAGCCTGCTCCAGCATGAATCCCCCACTGGGTCACAAGTCCTGCTAGGAAACCTCCACCAGTGTGGACTCTTCTTTCCATGGGTCTGTGGGTCCCAGCAGGAGCCTGCTCCAGCAAGTATTTCTCACAGGTACAGAACCCTCTCTTGAGCATACACCTGCTCTGGCATGGGCTCCTCCAAGAGCTGCAGGTGGATCTCTGCAGCCCTGTGGACCTCGATGAGCTGCAGGGGCACAGCTGCCTCACCAGGGATTGCACCAAGGACTGCAGGGAAATCTCAGCTTGAGCACCTGGAGCACCTCCTTCCCTTCTTCACTGATCTTGGTGGCTGCATAGTTGTTCCTCTCACATATTCTCACTCTGCTCTTCTCTGGCTTCAGTAACATCTGTGAAGTAACTTTTTTTTCCTTTTCAAATATGTTTTCACAGAGGTATTACTGCCATCACTGATTGCCTTGGCCAGTGGCATGCCCGTCTTGGAGCAGGCTGGCATCAGCTTTGCCAGACAGGAGAAAGCTTCTAGGCACCCTGCAACCCCCCAGTACCAAAACCTGACCATGCAAATCCAGTACAAATGCATAACCATTCATTTGATGAGTTGTACTAAAGCTATTCTAAGGCTATTTTCCCTGCCTATTCATAATTTGATGCTTACTAGTCATTAATCTCATTAGAAATAATTTTAATGGTTTTGCTTAAAAACTTTTCTGAAATTTCTTCCCTTTTTCCCTCATTCTTTAGCAACTCAGTTTCCAAACTCATTGCCTAAGTTCACACATTTTTGCAAGGGAATCTTTGAGCAAAACGTCCTTGATGGGCTTTATGTTCCATTTCTCTTTGAGATAACTTTGTCTATTTGGAGTTGTCACCTTGCAGCTACCAACAGCTGTAAGATTAATGCTCATACATCCAAATTTTCCTTAGCTCTACAGTCAGAGGCTGTTTCACAGTTTTCCCAATTGTTTGGTTATTTAAGCAGCCTTTGTTAGCAGTTCTACTGGTTAAATATTTCCATTTAGAACATTTTGACCATAGTCCTCTAACACCTGCAGAAATGTTGACTGTTTTTCAGAACAAGCACCAAGTAAATTTATGTTATTTATCTAGGAACATAGTTGGCAGACAATCTATTATTTCCTAATTTTCAGTCCTAGAACTGTTTTGTACTATAACCACTAAATTGTATTTTAAAAAGCATGGAATAGCAAGAAGAATCCTGGATGTTGCAACTTCATGCAACTCAGTTTCATTAAGTGTTGGGGCCTTCTAAAAGTTCATTTCTTATGGTATTTCATAAAAAAAAGCTCTCTCATTCAGGGAAAATAACCTAGTTTTAAAAAGAGCTTGAGTTTTTGACCAACAATGGCTTTGTTGTCCTCCTTTTATCTCTGATGGGTTTTATAAACACCTTTTCTTATATTTGTTGTATCTGTGCCTTTGTTGCAGTGCCTTAACTTTAATTGCAAGGTGGCCTGTTTGTAATCTAAGTTAGAAAATTGGTTTCCCCTGGAAAAAACCCTGCAGTCTGAGAGCTGCTGATCTCTTGCAGCAAACATTAGGCTTCTCCCAATATCTGACCCAGTTTCAGCACCTAGGCAATTCAGCTCATTGTTACATGTTTCTTGGTGGCTTCTTTTTCAAAGTCACTTTATCTCAGTGACTGAGGCATGTGCAGGAAGTGAAGGGATGCCACAGCCACAAATTCACCAGCCTGGGCTTTGCAATTCATAAAAAAAATAATTTTAAGGAGATTCCAGAAAGGGTAAAAAAAAATCAGAACCTAATTTATTGCATCACTTTACTGGGAGAAATCCCAGTCCTGTGTTGATGATCCTATACAAAAATTCATGGAAAAAATATGACAGGAAGGAATGTTTTCCTTGTAGTACCTGCTGCCTGTTAATGTACATCACCTTCTATCTTTCATTATGAGAGCTACAGGAAACTCCTTTTTTTAATACATTATGTATTACTGCTTTAGGTAAATTAAAAGCAAATTCCCTATGAATCAAAATAGAACCACAGATTATTATTCATAATATCCTTGGCTGAAAAGGTCCATGTAGAGTAATTGCAGAAATCTTCAGGGATAAACAATTACACTGTCTAGTTCAACAATTTTTGTTTTATTTTTAAACACCTGAGCTGTTCCAATAGTGTTGTTAAAATGTGTTTTGTCAATTCTGAGTTCTCAAAAGCTGAAGTCCCTTCTTTTTTAACTCACATGATACTAGGTTTGAAAGAGTTCTTCAGCTCTGTTTTGCCCAAAGTGGAAAGATTATGCCTTACTTTTGGTACATCTTAACTATGTCATCAAGAGATAATCCTTTGACACAGAGACAGAAGAGGAGAGAAAGATTCTGCCTGAGCAGAATCCTTCCCGTTTAGTCTGTACAAAAACAATTACTTAACAATGCAATTTTGTAGTGGAACAAGAGGACAGCCTCATCAGCTAGTGTTTTCCTCCTCCTTTCTGGTTCTGTGAACCATCTACAGAGTAATTGTGTTATTCCTGAGTGTGAGTCAGACCCAGCTTTTAATGTCATATGCAGAATCCTTCCTTTACTGGCTACTAGAAGTACTGTTAGATTTTTTTTTTTTTATCCAGAACTGCCTGCTACTCTAATTGCCTCAGTTCCACATTGTGAAAGCCTTACCATCTGAGTTTTCAGCAAAGTGCGATATTCCCTCTACCCAAGCCTCACAGGTTTCTGCAAAGTACTTTTGTCCATACAGCTCTTCCAGTGGTTTCCTGACCTTTTCACTCCATTTTGAAACATCTCGGATGCCTACATAAAATAATATTGAAATGTTATGTCCTTTCCAGTAAAAAGGTACAAACCACACCTAATATGGGGAAGTTTCCAAACCAGACTGCAAATATGTATTTAAAACTTGAAAATGCAATTAATATTTTAAATGATTCACAGTATGGAAAGGGTATAAAAAAGACAGTTGTGTAACCTCTGCTGTGGTCCTCTGAATTGTAGGGGAACATGTTATTATGGTCACAAGGAAAACAGAAAAAACATAATATTCAAGGGACTCAGTCCTAAAACTTCTGACGGTACTTTCTTGAAGGCTTTGACAAGAGAAATTCAAGGGCTACCTTGTGTATAAAAATGGGACTGTTTCATAACAGTGTGCTAGACCTGGCAGGTTTTCTATATTCTTTAGCCTTTTGCATCGACTCATTGATGGAAGTTCTTCCATGGCTCCTACCAGCTTTCAGAGGAAGGAAGCTCTTACTAAGACATTCCAGCAGACTGACGTCATGGTACATTTGCCATAGTTTTACACAAAAACAAGTGACTCTACTTAGTAGAGATTTGTGACTCATGGCAGGCTGGCTAAAGCTGTACAAATAATCTGACATTTTAGTTATTTATGTGTCAGATTTTTCTACTTTTTTCCCCTCTAAAATTTTCACTACTGCTCACAAACTAGGTATTCAAGAGGGTTATTTTCACTAAACTGTATTTCAGCTGTACAGTTTTGTCTGAAACAAAGTTGGCACAGCAGAGAACAGGACAGTACTGAATCATCAAACTTCAATATATGCCACTAGCAAAGGTTTTAATTGGTTTTAAAAGGGAATTAGGGGAAGAAAGAAGTGAGGTGTTAATTAACAAAGGGAACCTGTCCAGCCAATTGACAAACATAGCAGTGACCAAAAGTATTTTATAACAGCATCTGATTGGAAATGAGTCTGCTCATCCCAGGCTAGGTGCTACTGAACAACTGTTTCCCATATAGAATCTAATTTTTTTATCCTTGTGGCTAGCATTAATTTAGAAAGAGAAAGGAGAAGCCAATGTTGATGTGACATAGATACCAGACCAACACCTTTCTCTCCTTTCTCTCCCTTCATGCAGCTGAGATGCACTCATGACCCAGTTGTAGAAGACCTGTGCTGATACTCCTAGCTCTACCAGCCAAGGAGAGATGTAGAAAGCAGCAATGCATGAAGGACAAAGGCCAATATTGCAGTGGGTGTTCTATGTAAATAGGACTCTTTTTTTGGTTTTGTTTTGGTTTATTTTTTAGTTTTTCTTTTACATTTTAGTCTGTTGTGCAGGGAGATGTGCATTTCATAGTTATACAACAAAAATTTCAGATGTATAAAAACATGTTAAGAAATAAAGCATTTTACAGAGCTTTCTGAACTGAAAAAACATATTACTACTAGCACTTTTAGTTTTAGTATAGGTGAGGTAAGTACAGATGTGCAATATATACACTTGTAATTTTGCTGAAGCCAGAGAGATTTCACAGCTGGTATAAATCAAACTCCAATCACTAAAATGAAACAATACCAGGTTACTTTTATTGAGAGCCAACATGGTCAACTTTTTCATTTCTACATTCAAAAGGAAATATGGCCATTTATTCCTATTTTTCTTATTGTGAGAAGTGGTCTCAGATTCTATTCACATGAATGGAATAAGGATCAGAAATCCCATGTTTCTTTACTCTCTAAAAGTTTTCTAATTATAATAATTAACTCAGAAGGAATGCAAATTGTAAAGACTCCTTGGGACATTTATTTGAATGATTCATTTGCTTCTTCAACTTAAAAGCTAAGTTATGAACTTGTTTTCTTGCTGTCTATATTATACAGGCCCTAGAGGCAAAAGCTGTAATGAGCTAGCCCAGTGATTATCCGTGGACCTGGTTTTTAAAAGGTTGTGCAAGATGTAAGATAAGAAATCAAACCTGGGGTTTGATAGTATTATTTGGAATTTATTTTTAGGAATTTGTTATAATAACAAAAAAATGACTTTCTGAAAACTACTGATAAGGTATTATAACTTCTGCTTTTCATCAGGGTAATTTGGTAAGGGCTTGTTAAAAAATCTATTATATTACCCCTACAGTATTTGTTAGAGAGTTTCTCACTATAACTTTAATCAATCCCAATACCCAGCAATGTAGTGAATTTTGTGTCCTGTCTCTTTAGGTTTGTTGTGTCCTCAGCTCTGTCTCCACTTAGCTGTTACATGACTAAGATTCTTGGGTCAAGTAGAAATTAAAATAATTCATTTAGAATACGATATGAAGTTTGTACATACCATTGTAAATTCTCACATCCTCTTGAGTCACGCTGGCATTTGCTCCCCAGACAACCAACTTGTGGATAAGATTTGGGTACCTCGCAGCAGCAATGAGCGCTGTAATTCCACCATCGCTCCACCCCAGCAAGGAGAACTTCTTAAACTTCAGTGCCTTGATTCATACAAATATATGCAAATCATCAGCTGGCTTTACAGCCAAATGTCAAATATTTCTTGAAAATGAACTGCACAGTTTTAGGCACAACACTACATAGTTGAACTATAGTTAGCTTTTATAATTAGAAAATATAATTTTCTTGCTATACATAAAAATGCTTTTAAAAAGTCAGATATTTGGAAAACAAGAAATTACACCTGCCATTTCAATTTTCTATAACTCTTTAATGAAATCGGCAGTTGTCTATTAGATTCTTGCTGCATTTGAAAAAGCCCTTCAAAAAAGAAAAGCTGATTTAAAATGGAGAGTAAAGATCTTTTCAGATCAGAGAGCCTGATGATATGAAGAACCTGTGGATTCTCTTGGTGTGAGGTTGGCAAAGACTATCAGAGTGTGGATGGTAAGCAATCCAAGATTAATCTAAACTTTAGAAAAAGAAAAGTGTAAGACTTGAAAAGTGGAAGCCAGTGATCTGGTTTACTGATGCTAGCTGAGCTAAAAAAATAATCTGCTCTGTAACAATCAAAAAATTCTTAAAGTATTTTCTACAGGATTGTATCAAATTTTAGTTGCTAATTCACATTTTCTGAAGCTTACAAGTGTATATTTTAAATGTTACTTCACGGTCAGTTGTGATTCAAAACATTAATAACTAAATTCTTCCTTCTTTAAAAGGAAAGCTTAGGGCAAACAATATGACAACCAAGACCTTTATTCATTCTGACCAGTGACAGGACCCAAGGGAATGGCATGAAGCTGAGTTGAGGGAGGTTTAGGTTGGGTATCAGGAAAAGGTTTTTCACCCAGAGGGTGGTTGGGCACTGAACAAGCTCCCCAGGGCAGTGGTCACAGCACCAGCCCTGAGAGAGTTCAAGAAATGTTTGGACAACGCTCTCAGGCACGTGGTGTGACTCTTGGGGTGTCCTGCACAGGGCCAGGAGTTGGACTCGATGATCCTGATGGGTCCCTTCCACTCAGCATATTCTATGATAATGCTTTCTACTAGAATTTGAAACAAGAGTTTCCTCATAAATCACTAGATGTGGTAGGGAGTACTGGCAATCACAGGAGAGAGGATTTTGTGTGTGTTATGTTCAGTGGGGAAAGAGTGTGGACGGGTAAAGGCACTCATGAGAAAATACACCTGAAGGTTGTAGAGGGACAATATTCAATGGTTAAGCAATACTTGGAGTTTTGCATATAGGAACTGCCGTTTGTGAACTCATTCCAAATAAAGTGTATTTCACAGTGTTTTTTGCTATTGTTCTGCAAAAATTACAGCCTTTTAGATGTAAATAAAGAGGATATTTTACTTTTTAAGTAAAAAAGAGCAAGTTAGTTGAATGAGATGCTTTGGTGCTTGGTGGTGTTGGAAGTCCAGGCCTGCTTTGTTGTGACAGAACAAAGCAAAAATGCAGGCAATGAGAGAAACAAGTACAGAGGGAGAAAAAGAAGTTTCTACTTTGCTTGTAAACTCGATGCTCAAGCGAGGCACAACTTTACATTTAGCAGACTTGTTCCCTATAAGGCTTTTCTGGTTTTGGCTTCATCTTCTGTACTTTGCTCACTATAGTTTTGACCAATTTTAGATTTCACTCTGCAAAGCTATCATTACAAAACAGAAAAGAAATAAGGTAGGGTAAAGTAAGAGCTGATAGCAAGAAAAGAGAACTTTCTCATCAGCTCATCAGAAGTTGGCACTGGTCTGATGGAGAGGTAGTTAATCTGTGTCCAACTTTGACTATTGTGCTGCTGAAGGGCTCCTGGTATCTTGGCAGTTTTTAGGGGTTGGCAGCAGTGCTTGTAAAGATTAGGTTTTTGAGGTTGCTACTGTTGCCTTACTGCCAATAGCAAATGATGGAGCTCAAAGTTAGCTGATGGATGGAATAGCTGATTAAATTTTTTGTTCTTCATGCCAGATTATGAGATTTGCCTCCAGTATTTCTCGTGTTTACTAGCCTTTATCTTGATGCATTCTTTGGGATATCTCAGGATGCCTTTTCAGCAGGAGGAATTTAATTTATCCTTTGCAGCCTTCAGAAAAACAATGTGATGCAACAGATGTGATAGATAAGGTGTGCATGTTTGCTTGCTTTAATTTTTAACTACTTACAGTACAGGTCGCTAACCTAACATGGGCAATAACCTGAAAGCTGGTTGCACAGCACAGTTTTGTGGGTGACTGTGTGCTGCTCACATTTACTCTGTGAGTTAACAAAATTTCCTTTGAAGTCACCTCCTCCATCCAGGCCTAGGTGAAATGCAGTCCAATGACAACAGTAAGCTGCATTACAACATCGCTCTGCACTGCATGTATGTTTTCACTGCATCACAAGGAGTGTAGCACAAGTAAAAGTTACAGTTGATCTACAAAAACATAGAGAAGCCCAAGCCCATCCTTTTGCTAGGACAGTGACTCTGAAGAGTAAGAACTTCTTAAATATCAACACTAAGTATTTGCCAAATGATTGTTTTAACGTTATTGACTTTGCTAGCATTAAACATTGGGGTGGAGGGCAGCAAAGTGGACTCAGGTGCATTATACTTTTATTTCATGCAAACTCCTTCACAGAACGCAAATGGAGATACAGAACAGTGTCTTCTGCATAAAGGTGCTAAATACTCTGCAGAATTTCAGCTTTTGCTATTTCACAGAAACCTTGCACCACTCACAGCTCCAGCAGAGACACCAGAATGTGAAGGAGACTAGAACAAAGGTTCTGAAGGCTCACCCATACAGATGCATTTTTTGGCTGATTGTAGGCTGGATGATGTATATAAAACATTATATTCTGGAAATCATAGTTGGAATGATTCCTTGGGATTTGTGCTATCCTTTATAATATCCTAAAATAGAAGCAAGTCACCCATGCTTGATTAAGATTTTAGTAAGTTGTTATTATATGTTTATATTGAGAAGCATCTTCAAAAAACCAGGATGCTCTGCCTCATTTGCTTTGGCAGCTCTAGAGATTGGTAGGCTGCTGTCCTGTTTGGCTGGAAGCTACACAGTTTCACTCCCTTTGGGGAAAGCTCTGTTTAATATTTTCCATTTATTAGTATTTGAACAGAGATGAGAAAGAGGGTTACTACATTTAGACTGCAAGTTTGTTACCTATTCATAGCAGCATCTTTATTTTCTTTGCTAGTGTAGCAGAAGAAATTGAAGATTTACAGTACAGAGAGAGAGCAAACCTGTGTCTTAATCCCAATTCTGCTGTCAGACTTACTTCGTTTCATTATGCAGAATCCACCTGGAAGGCCACATTTCCAGTTTCAGATGGGCTTTCAGCAAGGTTATTGTTTATTACAGAAACAGAGTTGGAGTGACAGTCTGAATCTTGCCTCTCATTTTTGGAATTTTAATGATCTGCCAGCTTTCTTAACATGACCAGAGATTGTATATCTTAATACAAAAAAGCCAGAATACTAGTTAAAGCTAAACCAGAAAATAGTGTCAGCAGTTATAGAACAGAATAAAAGAGGAACACAGAAACTCAGATTCGAATTAAAAATTCTGCAAGAAGTAGAAATAATAACAGCTTTAGGCCATATTCTTTATAACCACAGTAGCTGTATTAATTTTGTAAAATTAGATATGGTCACAGGAAGCCTTTGATTTCCCAAAAAATTACTTCAGTAATATGCTGTAAAATGCAAAGCATTGAGTTAATTTTTAGAATCAAATGTTTCTTAAAATACTCTGCTCAAGGCAAAATGCCAAGATTCTATTTGATAGAAATTTTTAAGAGCCCTTCAGTATGGTAATCCCTCCAATTAAATTGCTTTGCATAGACTTTGTTTCTCATACACACATTTAACTAAACATTTATGTGGTTGTTGGCTGCAACTCTCTTAGGGCAGGGTCTTAGAATACAAGCATATTGCTTTACATTAATTCCCACTGCTGAACCTCTATGCATCTTGCAAAATATGTGGGAGAAGGAAATATTTGCTGGAATATTGTGTATATTCTCACTTTTAAGCCTTCATTTGTATGGTCTTTTCATAATCTGCTGCCAGCTGCAAGCAAACTTCCTCCTTCTCAAAATTTAAGGAAAACAGTTTCAAGAAAAAAAAGAAACAGGAAGAAATAATAAAATCTCATAATAGATTTACCTGCATAAGATCCACAGCGTCTTTTGCATCCCTCTCAAAGAAATCCGGAGGAAAGTCTCGAGATGGAGGAATGGATTTTCCATATCCCCGAGGATCCCAAGCAACAACTGTGAAAAGTTGCTTATTCATAGATTTAAGCTGTGGTCCAAAATCAGTTTGACCACTCCCTGAAACACAATTTTTCAATTTTATTAACCACCATACTGCATACATAGTATACATACTCTAAAGGGAAAATGAGGAAAACTTGTAACTTTATTCCAAGTAAGAGATTATCCAACATGTGAAGTACTCTTCAATTTTAGCTATCCATTGCAACCCTTAGACAGGAAGTGCCACAACCAAAATCTTTAGAAGCATCTGCAGTATGTTCAGAGCAAACCGTTCCTGGTAGGTATGAAAGGTTATCAAGAACAGCACTCTCACATATGATTGAATACAGTATCTTAAACTGAGTTACCTGAGGAAGGATTTATCTTTGACAGATTTAAAGCACTAGCATGGTCATTGCTGCTTACCTGGGCAATACAGGTGAAACTGAGAATATTTTCAGGAATATTTTGCTGCAAATTTGTATGTGAAAAGCACTGTGCCAGACAGCTATTATTTGATAAAGCACCTCTATAAGAATATTGGTGCTTAAAGCTGACCTTTAAATACTTTGTTGTCTGAGGTGATTGTGGTAACGCAGAAACATAAAATGGTGTATTTTTATTTTTCTAGTATGTAAAAATAAGCCAAATACAGCCTTTTTTTTGGATGCAGAACCATTTCTTTTATTAATGACTCAGACTTTCAAAGGATTTAAAAATTAAGTACTCCCATCTATTGCACTAAGCTATCTATGAATTAAGGTAACTTAGCATGAAGGTAAGACTGCAGTTTATGTCTTATTTGTGTTGTGGTCATGTGGTAATATCAAATGCTATTTGATTAAAATTATTCAAATTTAATGTGCTGAAATATAAAATCTGCCATCCATTTCTACATTAAAAAGGCCATTTAAAGGTGTTTAAGAGTTTTTTTTTCTGTTTACTTGGAGAAATCTGTCCTCAGATACCATTCACAGGTCTAAGTTATAAAAGAGGCTTTATATAGCCTGCTATGATGATAGCAATGTATGCATAAAAATAATAATAAATAATCATCAATAATAAAAATAATAATGTTCACAAGTGAAGAAATACATTATTTCTGTTTAAAGAGTTTGCATTGGCAACAGGATTGCTAGTTTAAAAAGCTGTTTAAAATCAATAGGTTCAAACATATGACTACTTGAAGGTTGACTAGCATTAATTTTTTTCTACCTTCCCCTTGTGAATTCTTTGAAAGAATGAACTGCTTCATGAAGACTTGAAAACGTTGCTGCCAAGAACAAATGTTTCCTGCTCTTCAATTCTTGACATTTTATCATCTTATCCAGCAATCCAATTAAGCATTTGCCCAGCTCTCAGCAGAGTAACAGTCCTACTGACAGCCTGCCATGAACTGTTGGTAAGTCTGATGGATCCTTTAGAACTGCAAGAACCCAGAAATAATAGGTTGTGTTAACTTTAAAATGTTGTTATCAAAAACAGCGGTTTCGATGGACAGACACCACTTAGCTATCAGAACCTGTTGTCCATCTCAAAAAACTACTGAGAATCTTAATGATGTTGCTCTGAATAAACAAAATGCAAAAATACATCCTTAAGCAAAAGATAAATTTTAAGTGACTTTTTCCCAATAAACTGTAAGGGTTACATGATGTCTATTCATTCAGTTGGAATACATCCAGCTTCTAAAGAGAGGTGCATAATTCAGTCTGTGTAACAAATATATCCGACCTGATTTTTCCCCCCCTTCTGCTATTTTCCACCTTGTGTAGCTATTTGCCACCTGTCCTGGACACCACTTCTGCACAGTTAATCCAAAAATGCAAGTGACCACTAGGTCAGTCAAGACATTGTACAAAAGATGCCTGGTAAGATAAATGAAATCTTCTAAAAACTGTTAGCTGATGGCAACAACTCTCCATTTTCCCTTCTGTTGTAAATGTAGCAATTTTTTTTTTTAATGACAATACTCCATATTCAGGTGTTGAATACATTACAAAATAATTTTGTGCATTCTTGCTTGAGACCAGATTGATAAAGAGGTTGTTGCTCTACAAAGACAAGATAAAATCTCCATACCTAGCATTCCTGGAAGCAGAAGAACTGCATGGCTTCCTTCTCCTGTTTGCTGATAATGCAGGTGGACTCCATTCACTTGGATTTTGGCAGATGTTATTGAAGTACTAGGGATAGGGAAAGAGGAGAGAAATAGAAAAACATTCAGACAGTCAATTTTCATTACTACCTGGTCACTCCAGGAATACAGAATAATTACTTTTCTTAGATATTAATGACAGCACCGTGATATTTTAATGGGTTGCTTGCCTTTCATGGGTGCACAGAAGATTAAAAAAAGCTTCTCAGGAGCAGAAAAGTTGTGATCACTATGTAGCATTCATACCTAGGCCAAAGGATTGGGAGAGGTACAAAGAATCTTGACAGCGCAACCAGGAAAATATAAAGGCAGCCTTACATGGCTACAGAAACATTGAAAAAAATACATGAGAAACGAGAAACCTCATTCTGTCACAGCATAACTTTCGAAATGGCTGATGTTCACCTTGCTTTTACTAAACTGAGCCTCTTCATCTGCCAGAGAAACCACAATCTATTGTTGCTGTTCCTCATGAACCACAGGGTCTGCAATGAAAACCACTTTGCACTGAGATGAGTGGAGAAGAAGAATGTGATAATAATATTTCTGTCAGTGCAATCTCACCAGGAGGTAAGGCTTAATTGGAAAATACCACATGAGCAATAAATTCACCCACTAAAAAATCCATAGAAACCAACTGCAGGGCCATCTCTCAGTCCCAACACTTAAACCCCTACACTAATCTTCAGTACAAAGCAAGACAAATGTGTATATGCAAGTAAGTGACCTGAAAAATCATGTCCAGATACAAATGCCTAGCGAGAAAGCAGAAGTAGCACAGATTCAAAGTATCTTCTTAACAGTGTAAACCATGACATCTGTTCTCTCGGGCAAATTTGTGCCCTAATGGTTGGACAACATGAAATAAAATGAGTTTGTTTAAAGCTAATATGGTAACAATCTTGCCATTTGGTTACCTAATGATTAACCATAATTTTACCTAGATTAAATATTCATGCCCTGTGAATTCAGTCACTGTGAATTTCATGTACATAGAGACATGTTGTTTTCCAGTCTTAGATACAATAACAATTTCTATTCCATGGACACTGGGCAATTCATTAACAATTTAATTTTTGTATGTGAAGTCTGAACTATTCACAGTACGTATAGAATTGAAAGTAGTGGATTACAGATAAAAAACAATCCCACTAATTTAAACCCCTTTCATAAGAAAAATGAACAATAGCTTGCAATCTCAGGGACCCAATACAAAAGTGGCAGTTAAACTACAGAACCTCTTCAACACAATGACAATTTTGATTCCACATAAAATCTTGGGTCTATGTAACCCATCATGCCACATGCCTGAATAAAACCGGTGACTGTGCAGAATAGTAACAGCTCCTTATGTGCAGATCCAGTTTGAGAACTGGAATACAAATGCAGATTTGTGGCAAGAGTACAGCTCAAAGAAATTAATTGTATAATTATAACTTCAGCGAGTTTTGCTGAATTGCTATGCTAATGTGATCCAAATGATAGTTTGACTGTAATGCTAAACCTCCTTAAAGTCTGTGTATCACATTTTATGTGGTTTATACACCTCACAATTCAAATTCTGCATATAGCACTCATATGGCTGCCTTATCCCCTTTTTGAATACTGACTTTCATTTTTTTTCTTTATAAGGGTTTTTTTTTATTCTTTATATGCCATCTTTTGGTTTGCATTAATATCAACAGGTATTTTATTATAGTTCTCACCACAGTATATCAGCACATTGCTTCTATTAAATTTTAAGAATTATATGATGGGTTTTTTTTCTTATGATTAATAATTGCCAAAACCACTTTCAGTTCCTAACAAAACAGAAATAATATCTTGTTACCTTTTTAAAAACAGGTTAGCAATGTACAGTTTAATACACAGAGTTATATATTCTGCTATTTCTGATTCAATTTTTTTTCACATAGTTCTATGCTTTTGGGATTAATTATTAACATCAGGGGCTTGAGAATTTTGCTGAGTCTGTAACGTTTTTCCATTCTTGGATTGTGCCTTGGTGTGAAGTCCACTGAAATCCAGGAGTTTCACACAGAGGGTATTTTCACTATTTTTTGGACTAACAACAAATGACTTGGGTTTTTTAGGCACTGAGAAGTTGTATTGGGACTGGCAACACCTAAGGTCCTCCCAATACCAAATTTCTGTGAGTCTGAAATCACTTCAGCAGTGTGCTTGTCAGCAGGATGACTTCACTTCTGTTGTTTTCATAAAGAATGTATTTTCCATTGGTTGACAGAATTGGAAACTCTGGTAAAACAAAACAAAAAACCCCACCCTGGTATTTCGAATTAGTAATGTTAAGGTGTAAAACCCTTTGAGAAACATTGGATACATGCTGCCTATGTTTACCAAGGCAGCACAGATGCAGAGTGGGCAGATCTTGTGCTTCACCTCGTACTCTGTAGGAGTGCAGCTTAATCCGACAACTATCTCTGTTCCAGCTGTGCTACAATACGACCTACTCTTTATCTGTGCAGGAGAAAAAAGTTATGGTACTATGTCAGTTTCCCTCAACAGGATCGGCGGAATAAGCAGTGTGATCTATATTAGGTGCATGTGTTCTCCTGGCGACCTCCAGGGAGCCCCTCACCAGCAGCAGGTGGCCGAGGGGCAGGCGGTCAGCGAGCGGCACGTCCTGCCCTGCGGGGACAGGCACTGACCAGGCGGTGCTGCGGAGCCTTCCTGCTACAGAGCCTCGCAGCGCAGGGAAAGCAGGAGCAGGCTCCTCGGGACACTGCCTGAGTCCCCAGTTTGTCACCTCCGCCCTCCCGATCCAATGCACACCGCCTCTGCTAATACACTTTGTCCATCCCGTCGCCTGTCTGACAAATATCCCCCGCCCCAAGCCGCGGGAAGAGAGGAGGGAGCTGGGGAACGGGAGAAGGAGGCGGCTGTGCATGTTACCCGTAGCAGGCGGCCGGTCCCCGGGGCGTGAGCGGCGCTGCCCGGGCGGGCGGCTGCAACTGCAGCAGCACCAGAGCCCGGAGGGCCCGGCTCGCGCTCCGGCAAAACATTGCACCCAGCGAGGCCGGCCCGGCGGGGAAGGAAGGAGACGAGGGGGGCCGGCCCGCCTCCCTTCCCGTGCCCTGCCCCCGAAGGGCCGGCCTGCCTCCCCGCCCGTGCCCTGCCCCCGAAGGGCCGGCTCGGCTCGGCTCTCCTCCCGTGCCCGCCTCCGCCCCCGCCGGGTGGGATGCGGCACCACATCCGGGGTGCACCGGGAGAGGGGCGGGGCGCTGTCCGCGCTCTGATTGGTCGCCGCCTCTGTCACTCAGGCCAGGACGGGGAGGGTTCGGCTTCTGCGCTGTGGCCCCGCCCCCCCGCAGCGCTGATTGGTCACCCGGCGGGAGCTGAGAGGCCGGAGGGGGCCTGTTGGTTCCTCCTCCCGGGTCGTTTTCCCGGTTCCTGATCCCGCTTTGGAGCCCTGGAAGGGTTAGTGCTGTCCCCGCTTGACAGCACGAGGCGAGGGTTGAAGGCTTTGCCCTCCGCAGCAGCCTCCAAGAGTAGAGCAGCTCCCAGCGCCGCACAGGTGCTTGGCTACACCGTCGGCCGTGGCGGGGAGCGGGGCACTGTGAGTGCCTCCCTCCTCTCCAAGAGGCGGAGACAAACTGAGACACGGCAGCCGCCCGGTGTCTGCAGGGGGTGGCTGCAAAGCTCTGGGAGATAGTGGGAGCTGAAGCCATGAAGTGTACCTCCAGCAGTGCCCGTGAAGCTCCATGGACTGTGAGAGCACAGAGGACACGGGGCTGTCTGTGGCTCCAGGTCTGCCTGGAGAACGGTGCCCTGGGCAGCTGGGACAGTGAGGGCAGCTCTGGATAGTGCAACCGCCCCTATGGCGGTGCCTTCAGCGTCTCAGAGTTCCGGCATTCCCAGGCCCTTGGCTGGAATCATTAACTCTGCCTCACTAATGGTATTTGTAGGGCCTGCTTATGGGGAACATCTGGCCAAGGGCTTTCGTCTGGCAAATGCCCATACTGATCAGGGCCGGCATTCTCTGGAGCAGCCTGACTGCTTTCATTTAGTGCAGCTTGGCTTTCCTCTGCACCTTCTCACAATTTACACATAAAACACCAAGGAGACCAACTGCGTTCCTTGGTGTCCAGCTGCGTTCCTTGGTGTCTGTTTTCCAAGTATGGAGGAGAATGGATGAGTCTGAGCCACAGCCGGCCAGGGTGGTGGTGGAGAAGGTAGTGAGGAAAATGGCAGAGCTTTCTGCAAAGCTTGAAACAGACCTAGGATTAAAGGTCTCCTGCCTTATACCTGGATGAGAGGAATTTCCTCAGAACCAGGTCAGTGTTACATAATCCAGCCCAGCAGAAGCTCAGTGACTGCCCTGATAGTGAATAGTCGTCAACCTTCCCACCCCCATTGCCATATGTGTGCATGGAACTTACAAGTCTTAAGAGACAAATGACAGTCATAACAAATCCCAGTGCATAAAGAGATTAACTCAACTTTGTAAGCATACTGGTTCAGTTTATCCCCTGAGCAGATCAAACCACTTAAGATTAAGGTCTTTAGTATGGATAATTACAAGCAATCCTTCATCAGGACAAGCTGCCTTCACTCTTGCCTGGAAGCTCCTACAGTTTCCTTGGTTCTTAGGCTACTTTCAGAGGCTCATCTTTGTTGTGAGTCTCACTGTCTAAGTTTATTTCTGGTGGAAAATGACTGGAGGGAAGAAATGGCATTGGCAAAAGACCCTTTTCTACGTGTGTGTTCAATGACTGGCATTGTGAAGGAAACAACTCAAGGAGAATTGCTGTCTGGGCCAACAGGGAAATTGCCCCAGGTACTGCTGTGAAAGCAGAACTCTGCCAAGGCTGAATGCAGGTGATGCAGGTGGTAGATGATCTGAGGACAAAGAGAGTGTAGACTTGCAGATTCAAACTCTGTTCAACCTACTCACTTCACCAGAACATCCAGTCTTGTTAGGAAAGCAGATTTGCACATAATGATGGGCATTTGGGAGAATACAGTATTTCAGTTCAACTATTTCCTCAAATATGTTTTCATAAATTACTGTCTGAAAGGAGAGAAGCTTTGAACAACCCAGACACAGACAAAAACCAGAAGTTTTGTGGCTTGCTTTTACACACATGAGAGAGTTGAGAACAACTGGAGCACTAGTTTTCCTGACCACTCCCGTAAAATATTTTTATTTGTCCAATTACTTCTGATGATTCAGGCTGGAAACTACCTGATTCTGGCCACTGCACAGAGTAAAAAAGAAAAGAAAAAGAAAAAAAGGAGAAGGCGATGTTTAGAAGAGGTAGCACTGCTCTGCTGGTGATGTGTCCCTGAGGACAGATTTCCCTTTTAACTGCCCCTGTCAGTTTTTGGCCTCCTTGGTGTGGCACCATCTCTTCCCTGTGGTCATCTATTACTGGCAGGGTTTCTCTCATATCGATGTGATGCTCTGCAGAGCATCACTGCTGCACAGTGGGACTTTGTCGCCTCTGACAAACCATCACAGTCCCTGCAGCCAGGCTGCACTGTTACTGCTGCATGGATTTGTTCCTTATAGAACTGAACACCAGGGGAAAAGTTTTCCAAAACTTCTTGTAAGGGACAAAACTGCAGAACAGTGAGATTTTCAATATGCCTATTAAATTTCAAAGAGGAGTCTTCTGACTCATGGTTGGATAGAAAATGTGTATCTACTATTTTTGTACTTCTGCAGGTCATAGAAAATCTAGAAAAGATCAAGTCACTTTTTGATGTAGTGGGTCCCTTGAGATCTGCTAGATCAGGCAGAAAGACTAATTCCAGTTCTCAAGAGGCATTATTTTCACCCACACATGGGATTCTCCTATCAGGAGCTGCAATCCCATACAAGACACTGGAATCATCAGCATAAGCAGGGAT